TGACGCGACGTCGTAAATCGACCTCGTTGTTGAGCGGAGCTGATGGGCGATGGCAGCGATGGCGCTGATACGCCAGTGATGACAGCTGTGGGAATAAGGTGAAAAGCGCCCGCTTAGGTGGGGGTGGTGGGAGGAGGGGGGAATAAAATAGCATGTGATAAACTTACATGCGTAAAACTCGATGCGCCATCCCGTCGGGGTTGGAGGCCTCGTGATGACGTTTTATTGACTCGTAGGAATGTACGGGAAAAGAGAGAAAGATGACTTTAGGGAACGAAAGAGAAATAATAAATGACTGAGAGGAGATAGTGCAGATTGATATATGCGAATGTGTGAATAAAAAGAATAACAGTAATGTAGACCAACACTTACACTGGTGATTACTTACATTTTAGAATCTTGTAAGTTAATTGTTGTGCTCTATACTTCAAGTTTTGAAGTCCTTATACCTTATAAAAATACAAAATGTATCTCGAATTATTTATTTTATAAGGCAGGAAGTGTAACAATGAGCTAATATCATTGGCCACTATAGGAAAATCAAAGTATAGTTTTCAGTGCTTTTTGCTTCCTTCTTTTAAAATGGTTTGTGTATGAATTTGGCATTATTCGGTCGATTGTCCGACTTTGCCGGTGAGCTTACCCCCGCCTAGTGTCCCACATATCCGGGTTTAGTTTAATTCCCACACGTAGGGGTGCTCGAAACATGTAGGGAAAATGATACATTCCCTTATGTTCGTAAAGGTTTATTCATTAGTTATAAATTTGAGTGTCGTAAAGGTCCTTCTCTAGCAACTCCGCCTGTCAGATTGTGTCAAAGTTTGATTCCGAAATATTTTTATTCGGATATTAAATTTCGGAAGCCTCTTTCGAAATACAAATTAATAAATTATAATAATAATAATAATAATAATAATAATAATAATAACAGCCATTGATATTATGTCTTTCAGCCGTTTCAAATATTAAAACTCAATTCTTTCAGTGCAGAAGCGCCAGTGCAATCAATAATTAATAGTTACCAAAATATTTTGCTAACCTGAGGCCAGTAGAATCATCGGAACGTTTCGGGAACTATTTTATTGTTAAGATTTTTTTCTGAATTTTCCATTATAGACATTGGAGACGAAGATTAAAAATTACCGTAAGTACATTATATCAAGAAAATTGCCATCATTTTCTAACCATGTTCAGTGAAATATTACACAAAAACGTC